GTAGAGGTTGTTAAACGTGATCTACTATGCACGAGGGCAATATGATACCAGCATCCAGTTCGAAATACAAAACTTTCAAATCGGACCCCTTGCCTGGGTGAAGTCTGAATCACAAGTTTATGTGTTCGAGCTTCGATATATATATGCAAATAACACCGGTCTTCTTCATCTCTCAATCCCAAGAGAGTCAGATTAACATTAGGATCAAAATTCTCAATGTCAATCCAAGTCATAAAAGTGTACCCCCCATTGGCCGGTGGAAAAGGTTTATCAGTCAGATTGTTCATTTCCAAGCAGGAATAACCAAACTGACACATGTCGAATTGAACGAAACGAGGCCATCGACTTCTTTGCACTCCATATAGAACCATGTCCATTGCAGTCATAAGTGTTCCATCCGTCTCAAGAGTCTCATCTGTATGTTGCTGATTACCATTCTCAAACTGTTCAAACAAGAATCTAATTTCTGTTGTGGAAACACCCATTTCAATTAATCTTTGTGCCAACCTAGTCAAGAATCGTTTTTCCTGTGTGCTGATTAGATCATTCGATTTATCTCCACAGCTTATCGTATTTGAAGGTAAAAACAAGCGACGTAAAACAACCTCGAGTACGCCCGATTTATTCATCATGACTTGATTTCTTCGGTTCGCGAAAGAAAGTGCAAGTAATGCTTCGTAAATCTTCAAAACCAGCTTTGGCTTATAACTCACTGAGAGTTGCAGGGTCATGATGGTTGAAATTATGTCTGGATTACAAATTTCGTCTGTAAGATTGCCCAGCATTTTTATAATTTTACTCGGACCTATCTCATGTGGCACATTACCACCATTTGGGACATCATCGACAAACACCTCCGAGATGGTCTCATTCTCAACTGCAAAACTAAATAATATCCCAAAAAGATGTTCGGGCGAACCAGTGGGTTTAAGGATGTCAGTAAGATGAATAGCGTCTTCGATGGATTTGTACCCAATTGAATCATTGAAAAAACGTCGATTCGTTTCATGGTTCGATACCGCCTCGGCGAAAGTCAAAAAAATTGCCTTCAAGGTGTCAATAGCTTGAGACATTTCAGGCAACTCTTCAGTTCGAGGAACGTCTAGAAGTTCAACATTCCCTTGATTGTCTGAATGATCACTTTCATCTTTACTTCTCGCCAATAATTTAAAAACATCTTCCAACCCAACCAACAAACTAACAAGGCACACAAAACCACCCGTCTCACGAAATACATCTTTCATATCGGGACAAGAGACTAATATACGTTTCATAGACCATAGTATATGCTTCTTCATTTTAAGATCAAATCTAGAAAGAGATTGGACTATCTCGATTAACCTCCCAAATTGAAATGAATGTTCAAGAGGAGCCTGTAACTCCGCTCTGTTAGAAAGCACATGTCCTTCGACCACCAACGTTTCAAAGATAGTTAAAGCACCATCACGAGTCTCGTCATAATGAAGCAGGTCGAACAAATTGCCCTTATAGCTGCAACAGAAGAATAATCTTTATAAATGCGTTACATTAAATTGGTGAAAGTGAAAGACAATTTACTCACGTAGCTCCAAATAACGAAAGATTTGCCTTATTTCCCTTCAATAATTCAACCAAGCATTCGGATATCAAATGAAAATTGTCAATGACTTCGTGACCAAACCGACTTTTCGCTTTTGAGATTTCGTTCTGTTGACTGTTCATGATATCGCTTAAATTTGAAATTGATATTCTTTTGACAAAAGGTGTATTCCCAAATTTATCCTGCAAAGTAGTTGCTAGATCCTGAAGTAAGCTACACAACATATTGAGCAATCCGATTTCCCTAAAGACTTCTTTGAATTTCGGCGATGACTGTAAAAGCGAAGTAACGGTTTCACAAGCTATCGCGGTTGTATGTTTCAAGGATTGTCCTTCATAGACAAGGGAATTGACATTCAGTATCGACATCTCATATTTCGATAATTAATCGATTCAACAGTTACCTTGAAAATGAAGTGACAACACAACCAACTCCCTGAATGGAACATAATTCAAATCAACCATAACAAATACCAACAAATCCAGTATCGATCTCTGTTGAAAAATAAGAGGTGGTGTTAAGATTTTCATAGGTTGTAATACCTGGCAGAAAAGTCGTTTAGATAAATTGAACATAGATACGTGCCTGAACTTTCGGACTAAATTTATCCAAATTCTCTATTAAAGTTGGCAAAATATTCAAGGATTCCATCAAGAAATAGTTCAGGTTATTAGACTTGAAAATCCCCGCAATAGAAACAACAATTTTTTGACGAAAAATATCAGGAAGTTGAATAGAGCTTGAAATTTTTGAATCCGGAGAAAATGTTGGCTCCGGATATAAAAGAACAGAGATCAGAACTTGAAGTGCCCTTTCATTGCGAAAAAGTGTTTCGTCTAATGCATTAAAAAAAATATATTGCACAAGTTAAAAAGTAGCTGAGCCGAACGTATAATCTTCGGTTCATCATTTTATATGCGCACCATCGTTCTCATTTCCAGCCGGTAATTGAAAATCTACAAGTATTCGTACAAACGAATATATTAGATAATATACTGTATACAAAAGACTCCCACAACTAACATTAGAACTTACCACTATGTTGATATGGTGTTCCATTAGAAGCAACAGGTTTAAATTCCTCCACTCCAGCAAATATCAGATCCTCAACCATAGTTATTAAAGTATCCTATATTTGGAGAAGAATATGTTATAACGATAATAGCGATAATATAGAAATTCAAATAGATAAGAACCTTTGTCATTGAACTCTTTTCATCAAAGGGGGGCAATAAAAGAAGGTGGTAGAATGTCTCATAGCCATTCATATTCACAAAACTCTCCAAGAATATAGGTGACACGTGAATTGTACCCTTTCGTTGTAAATTAAAATCAAAAATTAAATTATTTATCATAAATTAAATAAAGCTCAGTGAAATCAACTGAAAATGAAGCGTACTAGTATTAATTCTATAATTAAAGATCCGGCATATATCAATCTCCCACTGTCGATAAATCTATTTTCCTCTATTTTTATACTATCATTTAGTATTTTCATGAGGGTTTTCATAATATCTTTATTGAGAAAGTATGATACGACTTCTTGTGTAGCACATGCAAACAGTTCAACAAGTACTTCTAGTGCTCTTTGTGCAAATTATTCGGAATTAGAGTCGATCAATCGAAGTTTATAAAGGTTTGAATAACAAAAATTCTAAATTCTCGATACCTTTCGATCCAGAGATTGTAACCTCCATTCAAAACCAGTTTATCTGTTATCACCATTTCGACCAATATGTATAACAGGTCCTGTTCTAACAACTGGTTGAGCGTTGATCTATAAGTCACAAAATTAACAAGGATATCCGTCAGAATATCTGATACAACATCTGACGGGGCCATTCTCTCTGATGCATCCTTTCCATCTCGTCCCACATTCGACGTAGGGATCTCAACAAAACGCTGAAATGTCTTAATCAAGATAGCGGGAAGTGCGTGTGCCGACATAACCTCGTATACAACTTCCTAATCGAATAAAACAATTAGATATTGAGTTAAATAAATTAAATAAGTTATTTTCGTCCACAAGTTTTTATGAACATATATTCATGCAAAAAAAAAAAACGTGTCAAACATAAATAGTCATTCAAATAAATATCACATACGGGTCCGTCGCATAATAAGTTAATCGTCTTAATTATGAAAAACAACTGACTTTCATCGGCTAATTTCTGTAATATATCTTTTCAAAACGATGATAATAAAGAATTAAATTAAATCTAACAACTCCTGTTCTCGATTTCCGATATGCATATAATTTACGTGCTCACAATACCCGAAGCTGACACTTCGACTCCTCCTATATTGCTAATCAAATGTCGTGTGATAGCATCCGTGAAAATCTCCAAATTATTATCCAGACTAATTAAATACACATACATATGCATATGTTAGCTTTGGTAAAGAATGACGCGGAATTAATCACGAATTTTTAAGTTACCTCTCTTCAATCATTTTCGGACATTCGAAGAAAGTCTCAAAAAATTTACGCGAAGTTGCAGTCAAAAGAATAACCCGTTCCTATTAAAAAATAAATGCTCGATTGTTAGTCAAAACTGAGAGTCAGCACTTCGCCAATCGAATACTATTATAATAAATACCTGTTCATTAAAAGAATTCTGCCATAGTTGAAAGAGTGAATGCAATTCTGTTTGCTGCTCAGGAGGGATTCTAACGCAGCATCAAACCGAATTTCACTGAAGTTAAGAAAAGTCACGTACTTTGAAAAGGATAACTGAATTCAAAGCCAAAGTACACAGGTCGAATGGTAAAATGACGCGTTCGAAATTAATAGACCTGATCGCGAACAATACAACTAGTCTAACAAAACTCTGCCTTAAAGATAGCTTATTTAAATTCATGCGTGTATCTTTTCTCCACATGCTTAAATTTTATAAATAATATACTTTCTAATTTATGTAGCTGCAAAGCAACGGTAGATTTAGAAGCAAATAATTTGGGAAGAAGCGTGATGGCATTTTACTATTCGACCTGTGTAAATTTTCTCGAGATCAATAACTGACTTTCTATAACTCACATTTTTCGCGGTAGTTTCTCATGCTTTTCTTGTGTCAAAACCTCAACCTCTGATACCACTCCATATAACAAACTACTCTTTCGTCTGGCTACAGTTGCACGTGGGTCTTTAGGCGAACCAATACTGGATCTTCTTCCATGCGACTTTTCTTGCTTTAAAGATGATGTTGCGGGAGAAGGAGCCGATGCGCCAAATATTGGATTTGCATTCTTAAGTTGGCCAACAAGTTTTGACCACATAATGTCTAATTCTAAAACGTCTCACCGTTAACTTAGATTTTGCCTAGCTGTGAAGGCAAATCATAAAACGGTTGTGGCCTTTCGGAAAGCTATATTTTAAGTATTGTATCAGTTTCTTCGCTGAAGAAAGCCACGTGTTATTTACACGGGTATGAAAAGTGGCTTCGCTCTTTTGTATCTGTGCGACAAAACAAATATGCACGAAAGGCTAATTATCCGATTATGTCAATTTATTTTCTTCTTTCCTTTTAGCAATTTTATTTTATTAATTTAATTTTAATATTTGATAATTAATATTTAATTAAACGCACTTTATAATAATTATATAAACTTATATATATTTTTAATCCTTTACCACGTTGACATCACATATTTATTAAATCATATTGAATTATTACGATTAAAATAACAATTATATGTATGAATACAGTCTTCTTCAATAAATGAAATAGTTAGCATATATTAAAATTTTTATTTTATTACTAAAAATGATTTTTATGTATTAAATAAATTTGTTTCTTATAATAAATTTTATTTATAAATAAAAAATTTTAATTTTTTTGTCAAAATTTTAATATCTACTTGATTTTTATAACTATTGTTTTAACAAGCAATTTGATATTAATAAATTTGTTTAGCATATACATGTATTAAAGTATTTAAATTTTTTTTTTGAAAGAGATTTTTTTTATAGATAAATATTATTTTTTTATTTGATATTACTAGATGTTAACCCGTTGCAAAGCAATAGAATTTATATATAAACTATAAAAATATTATCATAACTATTATAATTATATAATCTAATTACGCTTGTATTAGAGGATTATCACTTCTGTGTAACAATGATTATTTAAAAACTTTGTAATACACAATATTTTTTGTCTGTCGATCTTGGTTTCTATTTATGTTATTTGATATAAGAATTTTGAT